TACCTTTTGTGGTTAAGAAATTACGCGCGATAATCGTCATTTGAAAATTTTCCAAAAAATTATGGGTACCACTGTATTTAAATTATATCAAATTTCTTATTTTAATTAATAGTTATTCTGTTCTACTTTAGTAATAGACTCACTAATTAACTATTACAATATATTATATAAATAATTTTTATTATATATGTTTTCTTATTACCATAAAAGAAAATTTGATCAAAAATATGATTTAGAATTAAATATAATTTCCAATTATTTACTAATTGTTATTTAGTAATATGAATATATTATGATTTTAAAAAATGTTTAAATTAAATATGAAGACATGTATAATTTTTATAGATTAAATTTGTAAATCAATTAAAAATTGCAATACAATTATATTAACTAAAAAAAAATTATTTGATTCAATTACTAAATTCATGATTTTTTATTGTATTTAACTTAATTTAATAATTTTAGTTATATATATAATTTTATAATTGCATACTTGAAAATTAATAAGTTTTTCAAAAAAAATTGTAATTAATTTTGTTAATCTATTTGATTATTGTTATTTTTTTTTGGATTTTTTCAATAAATAAACATTATTTCTTTATTTGATTTGTGTATATCAAAGTATATATTATACATGTGGTGTAAATTATTTTGCTATTGACTCAATTTCCAAAATCCTCAAAAATAATTGTATCATGACTCAATTATTTGAATGTTTTAATAGTAACTCAATTAATTGTATCAAATAATTGTGTCAATTGTATCAAGGATCTATGAATTTTAGCAACATGTATAGTATATATTGTAAAAGAAATAATATCTCATGAATATATTACATATAGTAAGTTAAATACTAGTTTGTTTACATTATAATATTTAACTAATATTGAAAAAAATTTCAAATATAATATTAATATATTAGATAAAGAAGGGACTATATCTATCAACTCAAAATATTTTGTAAATATTTTTGATTTTTTAAATGTAAAATAATTGAAGAGAAAAAAATAAATATAACTAAAACTAAAACTAAGTTAAATGAACTATAAAATTATAAGTAAAAAATCAATTATTTCTTTAAAAACATTCTGGACAGAGTTGTTATACTATTTTTTTGGCTTTTTGATAACCATAGATAGTAAAATATAAAATATAAAATATTGTTTATTGTTATCATTATTCTTGTTGTAGTAGTTAACTCCATTGTTGTAATTGTTATTATTGTTGGATTAACAAACTGGTTTAAACTAGTTTTGTTTATCTTGTTAAGGTAATATAATGAATTCTGATTAAATACATGTAGTTATCAAGTGTTGATCAATTGAAAAAAGTAAACTAATTTCAGTTTTTATGATAGAAAATGATTATAAATTTTTTTAAATAATGCAGTAAGTATTACCAAAGTAAAATTTTGAATTAAGGTTGTGTTAAAACAAATATTAGATCCTATGGCTTTGTTTGAGTATATTTTTTGAAAAGTATTTTGTTTAGTGAATATAATAGTATTGATGTAGATAGTTTTTATGATATAATAAGAATAAGAAGAAATGAAAAAGAACAAAAGAAAAAAGAACTATCACAGATCTTTCTTCATTCAACTGAAGGATAAGCAAAACTTCCAAACTTGAGTAAACTTTGATCTGAGATTCCATCCCACTGCATCAGTTGTCTTGAAGGTTCTTGAGTTCTTGAGTTAAGGCTCACTTATGATAAAGAGTGTAAAATATTTTTTTTTGCTTAAAATTATCATAAAAAGAATTTTTTAATAAAATGGATACAATCAAGAGAGAATTTTTTAAAAATTATAATTATTATTATTATATATTTATTTATTTTCATTATTATTTATACATGTATATTTTATTTATTTATTTTTATTGTATATATATTTTTTTTACAGTTAATATGAATTTTTTAAAAACTAGCGATTTTATTTAGATAAATTTCAATGCTATATATACAGTATATAGATTTATATAACATTAAAATATTATTTAACTTGTTTTGCTAGTTTTTGATAATTTTTATTTAAAACGATAAAAATTATCTGGTCGGTCACTTTCTAGCATATTAAACACATGATACTGTATACTGTATATTGTATATTTTTATACTAATGTAAGGATTTCCATAATTCGGAAATTTCACTTGAAATCATTGTAGGTGACGCACAAGGGCCATAAGATGCCGCACAAAGTGCCATAAGGTGCCGCACAAAGTGTTATAATAAGGTGCCGCACGAGTGGTGCAACTAAAACTCTGCTGGGTTTTATTTATCATTATTTTTTTGGCTGTTTTTTTACAGAACTTCTGAAATATTTCGTGAGAACAACAGCAATAAATCTATTTATTAAGGAAGTTAAACGTTCAGTTAGCATAAAAAAAAAAACCAAAATGTTTAATATTTTACTTATTCTCGTAATCATTTACACATCTCATTATTATTATAAATACTTTACTCGCCAAAACCCTCTCCCCGGGCCATTCCCATTTCCCTTGGTGGGCAATATTTTTCAAATTAGCTTTGATATTGCAGTGTGGCCAGGTCAATTGCAAGAAAAATATGGGGACTTCTACGAAGTTTATGCAGGACCCCTACGGCTAATTTGGCTCTGCAGAGAAGATTTAATTAGTAAAATAGTAAGTCCAGCAAGTAATAATAACTTTCATAACAGTGTGAGCAAAAACAATGACAGCATGAAAGAACTTGGAATACTTGACACGGCACTTATTTTCAACACAAACTATAGAACCTGGCAGTACTATCGAAGGTTTTATACAAAAACAATGTCAAAAACTTCGTTTTTGATCCAAGCTCTAGATTTTACCCAAGAAGTGTTTGGTAAGATGGATAATTGTTGGGAGAATCTCGGAGAAGACACAACATTAGAATTTCCCCATTGGGCTAAAAGATATTTTATGGATACCATATTTCTTATAGCCGTCGGTAAACCAGTACATTCCTTATATAGTTATTATGACAAATTGCCAACTGACAAAAAGTTTAATGTATCGGAAAGCATGTTAAAGGAGAGTGAAGTTTTTTTACAGGCTGTTCAAGATTCTGCTACGTGCGTTGCACATTTCATGATATTTCCAAAGTTTATTAGAGACTTTCCGGGAATCAGTCGATATACTCAAAGATTAAAAAATAATTTAAATTGGCTAAGGAAAAAAACATTTGATATTGCTATGGAGAGAAGAGAAGAGATTGAAAAAACACCAGTAGACCAAAAACTGACTCCTAATATTCTAACAATGTTTTTAACTATTAACACGTCACGTGACATTACTGAAAAAATCGCTGACAGCCTACACAGCGAGCCAATGTCCGATAAAGAGATTGGTAGAAACTTAATGGAAACTCTAAATGGTGGAACTGATACGGTAAATAATCTAAATGACTTGTTTTCATTATTGTCTATATTGATATATGTATTTTTCATTATTAGGGATCGAATCTTCTGTGTTTCCTAATTTATTGCATATCTCGCCATCCAAAAGTTAAAGAACTTTTGGTAGGAGAGATCGATCGAGTTTTGGGCAAAGACTTAAGTTATAAAGTTACTTATGAGGACGTGGTAAAACTTGAATATTGTGAAGCCACTATTTACGAATGTAGCGTAATACCGTATATTACTTGTGTAAATTCCGTCTACAAAATTTTAATAGTAATTTATAAAAATATGTATATTTATTTCAGGTTCGCGATTATTTACCATTGGGCCTGCATTATTTAAAAAAAACACTAAACCAGACGAGATTGGTGGTTTGATGTTTCCTGCGGAAACTCAATTCTTTCTCTATTATAAAGGCATTCATAGGCATAAATCTTCATGGACAAACCCGGAAGAGTTTAACCCAGAAAGATTTATTGAAAAACCAGAAAGTAAAAAACATATTTATACTTTTGGTGGTGGACTGAGAAAGTGTAAGTCATTCTTATTTATTGGTATAATATTCTAAGCACTACTTCATTGAGTGAACATATATTTGATTTATTGTTATTTTTTTATAATAGGTCCTGGAAGAAATTTGGCAATTCTGCAGTTGAAATTGAGTTTAGCTTTATTGTACAGAAAGTATGATATCGAGCTTGTTGATAAGAAAACGCCGATCAAGTATCATACCGGTCTCGCTCTAACTTGCGATGAACTAAAAATTCGAGTTAAGAAAAGAAATATTCAGTAATAAACAAGATATACTTTATTATTAATTTTAAATGGTTAGGAAATACTGTATTAGATGAACATGGATGTAAAATTAAATAAAGTTCTACATTATTCGATAAACTCATCTCATTTTCTAACACATTCACTTACCTTCTTTTGACGTTGCCATTACACCAGGGATCTGTTGTATGTCCGAGGCAAATTAAATAATGAATAATTCGTTATATATTCTTTTAAAATTTAATAACTATTTATAAAGAAATTAAATAATTTATATGTACTGTATTATTCAAAAATATAAAAAAAAATTATTTAAAAAACTTCTATAGTACAGTACAATTATTTTTTGATAAAAGATAAATATATTAAATATTATTATTATATTTTAGTTTTTAAAAATTAAAAAATATTACTTTTTTTTAATTGTCTTGTTTTTAAATAATTTTTTTAATGTCAAGGTGAGACTCATCTCATGATCTTTATTAATAGAGTGGTTTTAATTACACAATTAATATTAAGATATAATATATACAGTAGTGTGCAAAAAAAACTGGAATTTTTTTTAATACATATTTTTATTAATAAATCAATATAGAATTATTTAAATATTATAAAACTTTATAAATTTGTTTTTAAGATGAAAATAAAAAAAACCATATAATTTTTTATTAATTTTCATATTAACTTTAATGTTAATTTTAAATATAAAACAAATGT